CGATGGACTCTGAAAAACAAACTGAGGGTTCTAGAGGGGAGGGGGGTGGGAGGATGGGTTAGCCTGGTGGTGGGTATTGAGGAGGGCACATTCTGCATAGAGCACAGGGTGTTATGCACAAACAATGAATCATGGACAGTACATCTAAAACTAATGATGTAATGTATGGGGATTAACATAATAATAATAAAATAAATAAATAAATAAATAAAAATCAACTCAAAATGGATTAAAGACTTAATCAAAGACCTGAAATTACAAAACTCCTAGAAGAAAATATAGGGAAATTTTTCATAAAATTGGTTTTAGGGATGATTTCTTGGATATTATATCAAAATCATGGCAACAAAAGCAAAAACAGACAAGTAGAACTAAAATAAAATAAATTATTAATTAAATAAAAATCTTCTGCACAGCAAAGGAAACAATCAATAGAGTGGTAAAGAAATCTATAGGAAGGGAGAAAATATTTGCAAACAATATATCTGAGGGGTTAATATCCAAAATATATAAGGAACTCCTACAATTCAACAGCAAAACCCCCCAAATAATCCAATTTAAAATGGGCAAAAGACTTAAATACACATTTTTCCAAAGACACATACAAATGACCAACAGGTATATGAAAAGATCCTCAATATCACCAAGCATTAGGGACATGAATGTCAAAACCACAATGAGATATCACCTCACAACTATGAGGATGGTCTTTTTTTAAGTGCTAAAAGAGAAATTGGAACCCTTGTGCACTATTGGTAGGAATCTGAAATGGTGCTGCCACTATGGACAGCAGTGTTGATATTGCTGAAAACATTAAAAATAGAACTGCCAAGGGCACCTGGCTGGCTCAGTCAGAGGAGCATATGACTCTTGATCTCAGGGTTATGAGTTTGAACCCCACATTGGGTGTAGAGATTACTTAAATAAATAAATAATTTAAAATATTAGAACTACCATAAGACCCAGCAATCCCACTTTTGGGTATTTACCCAAAAGAATTGAAATCAGGATCTCCAGGAGATAGGTGCACTCCCATAGTCATTATTCACAAGAGCCAAAGGCAGAAACAACCTAAATGTCCACCAATGGATGAATAAAGAAAATGCGGTGTAGATATACAATGGGATATTATTCAGCCTTAAAAAAGAAGGAAGTCCTGTCACATACTACAACACGTTTAAACCTGATTATGCTGTGAAATAAGCCAGTCAAAGAAGGACAAATACTAAATGATTCCACTCATATAATGTATATCAAGTAATCAAACTCATAGAAGCAGAGAGTAGAATGATGGTTGCCAGGAGCTGGGTGGGGATTTGCTGTTCAATGGGTATAAAATTTCATTCATGAAAGATTAAAAAGTTCTGGATATCTGTTGTACACCATGTGCTTATAGTTAACAATACTGGAATGTACACTTAAAAATTTGTTAAGAAGGTGGATCTCATATGTTTTTTTACCATAATAGAAACAAAAGGATATATGCTCTTAAGTATTCACAAAACAAAAAAAGCATCAGTTTTATCTGCATCCTCCAATTGACCTCAGCTCAGAAGCTCTAGGCAGCTCTGGCTTGTCCTCAGGACATCATTTTCTCAGGTGTCTGAAATTCTTCTTCTGAGCAGTATTAAAAAAAAAAAAAAAGCAAACACTGATTTTATTCTTCATACTGACCACACACATAAATCAGAATGAGATATAAGAGACCTGTAGTGTCCAAGGTTTCCAAGCATACAGGCCCATTTCAGCCCTTTTAATGTGTGGTAGGTTGCAAAACTGGCTACAATGCTCCACCCCTTCTGTAGTCCCAGCCTTTAGAGCACCTGCCATTAGAAGGTGGTGTCCATTTCCTTACTCCTTGAAGTTGGGCCAACTCCATGACTTGCTTTGGCCAATAAATGCAGCAGATATGATGTACTTTCTGGACCCTCTGCCTCCTAGGACCTTCTCACCATCATATGAACAAGCCTGTACTGGCCCTCTATCAGGGCCATCGTAGACCAACCAGGCCCCAGCTGACCTGGGAGCTGACCACAAACACTTAAGTGAGCCCAGCTGACATCAGTCTGGCCCAGATCAACTGAGCCCAGCCCAAACTGTTGACCCACAGAACCATGAGCTTAAAAAATGGTGGTGTTTTAAGCCACTATCTTTTGAGGTGCTTTGTTACACAGCAAAAACTAACTATACAATACATATCCCTAATTCTTATGATCATAGTTGCTCTTCTGAATTAACCCCTTTTAAGATCCTCCCCAGAATCTCCTCCAGGTACACAGCATGGATCTCTTCCTCAAACTACTATTTGCATGAAGCTTTTTATTATAATATCATTAAAATAAAGGAGAGAGGCCTCTCATCAGGATAACTTGTCGTTACTCAATTCAGCCTCAGGTGGACTTTTCAATTTGGTCAGACAGCAGCTTCATTCTTGGCTCACCCCAGAGCACAAATGTTAGCCTCCTCCTTGTTTTTTTTCCCCCAAAGTTCTTGGAAACATGTAAGTCTTCCCTTGCATTCACAGGGGACTAGATTTCACATATCCTAGGTCACTCTGGATCCCTTTCCCTCATCAGTGCACTCCTCTGCTTGGCACTCCCCACTCTACAGCTCTACTGAAGGAACCCAAATGCAGAGCTCAGTTGAGTGTTTCTGACACTCTTCTGAACACTGTATCAATAGCACATACTTCCTTAATTTCACACATGAATTTTTCTCTACTTAAGTGAGCTCCACAGAATTTCCTTTGCACCTTCCTGAAGCACAAGAAACCGCTCTCCATGTGTGGTACACATCTTTGCTTCTGCCTTCACAACACCCACTTCCCCTGCTTCTGGGAACAGCATTGACACTTTCCAAGGGAACAACTTTCTCCTCTCTTTCTAGAGATGTGGGTTGAATGTAGTCCTATCAACCCTTGGCTGCAGAGGTGGGCACGTGACCCAGCTCTGGCAGGTCAGAGCATGCCTCCTCCTGGCCAGCAATTGATTCTTACTGGGGCACATGACTCCATCAGAACCAGTCAAATTCAAGTCTAGGACTTATGTGGGAACTGTCAGAGACCAACCACCTTTTGACTGGAAATGCTGATAACACAAGAAATTAGAACAGAGCTACTGGGCAGCCATCTTGTCACTATGAAGAGAAATCCTGCCCCAAAATGAAGCAACAGACACTGACAATGTTAATGACATAATTTGAGTCTTTGGAGTAATCAGCCATGCCTAAGAAAGCTATCATGATCCTTTTGACTTTTTTGTTCTTTTTTGTTTAAACCAGACTGAACTAAGTTACGGTTGCTTGCAAACAAAGATGTTCTACTACATCCCACATCTTTCCCTTTATACAAATTAGAACTTACCACTGTTAAATGGAAAGCAGGATGATTCATATGAAGTTGAAGAATGGTTAACCTAGTCTATGGTGATCCCTAACTGCCCATTCCCTTTCCCTATACACTTTGGCTTTCACTGGGGATGTCGGAGCTTATGGCAGTTTTAAGATGGAGCTGCACATTGTTTGATCCTCCCCCCACTGAGGGCTGGGTCTCAGTGCCCCAGCTTTTGCCATTGAATCTGGACAGGCTTGTGACCACGGAGAACAATCAGGTCAGTGGCAGTGATGTCATGTGACCTTCCAGGCTTGGTCTTCATCTGCCTTGTTTGCTGGCACCAGCATGCTCAGAGCCATAAGCCACCACCTACAATGCCACCAAATCCCAGAGCAGCCACTCTGGGGCTGCAACACATAGGTGCCTAGTCAGCAGTGCCACCTCAGCAGATGCCAGCCCTCCAGGCCCAATGGCCAGACACAGCAGTGAGAAGCCACCTTGGAGGATGATACCCCTTCCCTGCTCTTCCAGATCCTGCCAGTCCACTGACCCATCACCATTCAAGGTGATCCCCCAAGGCCTATACACATGGGTCCTTTCTGGATCCTGATCTGAATGATCCACAGACATAACAAATGGAGGTTGTTTCCTGCCACTCAGTTTTAGTGTGGTTTGTGACACAGCCACAGACACCTGGGACCAGACCCCTCCACTCCTGGCCTTACCTCACAACGTCCACTGATGCAGCCCCTGACTTGAAGAAATCGGTGGAGTCTTCCACCTCCAGAACACTGGGGAGAATCCGTTTCCAGGCACTCTAAAAAACAGGTGCAATGAGAAAGGGCTCACAGGGGAGCTGGAAGAAGGCACCTTTGGGGTGAGAGCAGCCCCTGATATGTGTTTGGACCACCTATTGCCAGGCTGGGCTTTCTGCCCACTCCAAGGCGCTGCTGCTCTCAGGAGCCTCATGGTAATGGAGCGATTGCCTCCTTGGGGAAGTAGAAGCCCAAGGAGCTCAGCTACTGTCCTCCTCCCACCTCACCTTGACCCCAACTTCTTTGGGATCTCCATACCAGTTCAGGGGCAGCAGGAAGACCAGACATGGAGAGCTCAGGGCGTGGCTGTGGACCAGCTACTCCCAAGCCCACTTCATGCCCAGCCTCACCTGGGTGCTGTCATCCAAGGGAGGTCCCCAGAGTGACACTGGTGTTTGGGTATGTTGCATTGTGGAAGGGAAAGCAAAGTGTGGGGGTGGTTCTCAGGGTAAAAATGAGGCACACTGATGGGGCTCAGGAAGCCTGGGTCTTCTCACTGATAGCTGGTTCTATGCCCCTCTGTCCTGGGGCCTGCGGAGGGCAGCAGTGCCCACCAGCCAGCCCCATGGATGAGCATGGAAAGGGCAGTGCCAGTGGCCAACACCATCCAGAATTCTAAGACCATCCAGTGGGTCAGGATGGGATGGCTGTTCTCTGGCTGGGTTCCCAGTTGGGCTTCTCAGGACAGAAGAGGATGCCTCACACTCTGTCTGAACTTCAGGCCTGGCTGGTCACTGGTCCAGATGGAGGTGGGAAGGTCCAGTTAGGACCAGCACCCTGGCACCCTTAACCCAACTTCTCCTTGGCTCTTTCATTCTTGGAAGGGTGTTGTGATTTGCCCTTCCCATCCTCAATGTGACCGTCAGCAGCCATGCTGAGCCACTCCCTATCCCCACTAGACTCCTGCCTGCCCTCAGGCCTCCGTCTGGGTCTTTGCCCACCAGTGATGCCCTTCTCTGAACCCCAGCTCATGTTTAAATCCTGGGCATCCTCTGGGGCCAACTGCTGTGTCACTTCTTCCCTGAAATCTTCACTGACTGCTCTGCTGGCAAGGGCTACCCTCTTCAGACTCAAGTGGCCTGGGGCCACAGGTCACCTGCTGATATATGGGTGTACCATCCTATGATGCCTACGAGATGCACTGGCCCTTATAAGATGCGTATGGAACCTCTGAGAGGCAGTGCACCTCAAAGCCGCACTGCCTCACTCAGACCCCAGCTTGGCTCCTGACAAGCCATGGAGATGTAGACAGCCCCTCAATGCCTACTTCTTCATCTGTGCAAGAGGCTGATAACGGCTGTGGGGATGTCTTGCCTGAGGCAGGAAGGGCATTTGGTGTACAGAGGAGCTCAGCAAATGTGGCATTTGTGCCACCTGCAGTGCTCTGCATAGCCCTGGCTCAGGAGGGTGTTTGGCTGGGCTTGTTGCCCACGGCCCACTCCAGCCCACGGCATGCACTTGGTGAGGTCTGCTGAATGGAGAACACAGCTGACCCCTGCTAGCGCCACTAGGCTGGGCTCTCTCCATCAACACCAGGGCCACAACCACCCCACACTGCCCTCTCCTCCCTGGCTATCTCCCCTCCCCCTCAGTTGCCTCCAGACCTCCCCTCCCCCTCAGTCACCTCCAGGCATTCTGAAAGGGCCAGCCCAGCTATGACCAACAGGTGTCATGATAACAATGCTAAGGATGACCGAGGCCATGTGGCAAGCAGCACAGCAGTGGAGGCCAGGACTCCAGCCCCACCAGCTGGGCTCCAAGCCCAGGCCTGTGCTCATCTGCTGTGACCCCGCCTCGGGCCTCAGCTCCTCGGCTGGGAGATGAAGGTAATAACAACACCTGCTTCATGGAGTTATTACAGTAATTAAACACAATACCATTCCTGAAGTGTTTAGAACATGACACGGGTACACACTCTGCAAGTATGTGCTTCTTTTGATGACTGTTAGGCTCCCTGCCAACATTTATTGAGGCCCTCATAGGTGCTGCTGAATGGACCCTCTCCATATGTGTTCTCTCCTCTACCACTCACAACACCCATGGGCGTGGGGTTTATTCTTCCCAGTGCACAGATGAAGGACACAGTTGTAGCAGCCTCTGACTCAGGTTTAACATGCAACCTTAGCCCACCCCGAGTGCCACTCAACTGGAAGCTCCAGAAGGCCAATTTGTCCAGCAGCTGGCCCAGTAATCCCCAGTGGGCACAGGGCTGGGGCCAGAGCAGTGGCTCCAAGAATAGTTTTGAATGAACAGGCTTTTTTTTTTCTCCTTTTTTTACAGACATTCAGAATATTTAGCTTTCTACTAAGGAAGTGCTCAGTGCCCTCTGGAGCAAGGCCAGCTCCTCATGTCCCTCCCTTGCTGAGTCCTGTCCCCTGCACTTGTCATCAACACCCACGGTCACCACTGTGGCTGCAAACTGGCCCACCTTCACTAAACACATCTCTCCTTCCCCCAGAACTCTCTCCATTCACCTCTCAGGGCAAACCTCCCCTCCTCCTGCCCAGGGGAGCCTGCCTTGATTATTCCTTCTGAAGTCGTCCTCCAGCCTCCAAGGACCTTGTTTCCATCACCCTGTTATTTCGCTCATGGCACTTCTCTTTGTCTGAAATTATCTTGTTTATGTTTGGCTGTTCATTGGCTCTCTTCCCCATGGAAAGGGACACTTCATGACAACAGGGACACTGCTTATTGTCATATTCCTAGTGTCTGACTTAGCACCTGGTATTTGATAGGAGCCCATATGTATTTCTTAAATAAGTCACTGAGTACATGATTGCATGAGTGAAAATTCATCTAACGCCTTCCATTCAGTTAGGCTAAATGCCATCAATACCATGTCTCCAAGGAGAGAGAGATGAGTGGGGGGAGCAGGAAGGACGAGGAACAACTCTAGGAGGTGACCACTGATTCAACTTGTGGTCGAAGGGACTGAGTCTCAGAGAGGGAAGTGCTCTCTGGCTTCATGCAGGGCAGCTGGACTGGAGCCCAGGTCTGCCTGACTATGATGCCCATGCTGGTCACAGTGCAAGAGACTCCTCAGGGAGCTTTTCTGGAAGGTTACAGTGCACACATTCTCATCAAAGTGTCATGGACTTGGCACCTGCCTTTGTCATCTACCCAGGGGCTTCTTGCTTCATTTGTCCACCACTGACAAGGAGTCCTTAGGAAAGTCAGACCCAGCCAGCCAAATCCCAGTGCTCCAGTGACAGAAGAAGAGAGTAAGGGGACATCAGAAAACCCCAAGACAGGACAGAACCATCACTGTGCCTAGGGTAAGCACATAAATCCATAGAGGGTGTGCACACCCAACTCCAGGGAGCATGAGTCAAAAAACACATGTGCAGTGCACAACCTGCACAATCAGACAGAATCCCTGAGGGGTCTCTTACCCTCACAGCCTCTGCCATGACCAGCTCTTCCTCAGTCAGCTCAAGGGCATTGCTGTCCACTCCCTTGAAGAAGTGGGAAGCTGGGATCATCTTGCCATCCTCCAGCTGGATGTTCTTCACCAGCAGCTGCAAAAAGAAGGTTTCACAGCACCTAAGGTTGCCCTCCTCTCAGGGAAAAGAGCAATTTCACACAGAGCACTGTGCTGGGCACCCCACACACTTCATCTCCAACCCTCACCACAAGAAAGGCACAAGATTAATGAGGAAGAGAGACGTTCAGAGTGGGCATGCTGGCTAACCTAGGGACACGGAGGGAATGGTAGAGCTCACGTCTGCCGGCCACCCACCCCCACCAAGCTCTCACTTCTTTTTAAGTGTAATGGTTTTATTATTTCTATAAAAATGCTTACTTATTAGACAAATAATTCAATCACGACTTTGAAAGTCAATCAAGAAAACAACTAATCCCCCAATAGTCCAGCTCCCAGAAACCCCATGGAAACATCTGGTGAAGGTCATCGGATGTCCCATGGGGCCTAGAGGTGGGAAGAGGAGCAGACGAGGACATCTGTGCTTGACAAGAGTGGTTTCTAAGAATGGCACACTCTATATCCACTCTGATATAACTAGAGCCAGGTTCCCTGCCTGATCTCCACCCTTTTGCCTTTTGGAGATACTTGGGAGCTTTCCGTGAGCTAAAGCCCAGCCAGACTCAGCTAGAAGTTTCTGAAAGATGCTTCAACCAAGGGTCTCTGCCAAGGCTGCTTCCTTTGCTTTGCTGTCCTGTGGACATCATGGAAGGTGTAGTTGGTGCCCCCCTATCCAGAGCTCCTCTTGGATGGTGTCCCCATCCTCCAGCTGCTTACCCTAATGGGTGAGCCATTAGCAGCCTACATCTGCACCTTCCTACTCCATGGATGTTGCTGGATAGACACAGCCACAGACAGAGAGGCCCAGGGACTATGCCTCATTGCCAGTCCCCTTCCCCAGGGGCAGCAGAAACTGAGGACTTAGTGATGTGAGCATGCAGGGGCATAATCAGCAGATGCAATTCACACTGGATGAGATAAAGGCTGGAAGACTCCAGAACCCCTATATCTTTGCTTATCATTGTCCTCTGCCCCAGCTTAGCCCTAGGTTGTATGGGATTTTCCAAGAGTACTCCCTCGATAAATCAGATGCACAAGAACTCCTATCTCAGATGCTGCTTCTAGGGAACTTGACCCAAGACAGATAGCATATTTCAACTGCATGTATCAAGCATGAATACCTAAAACACCTGATCACTATAAATTGCAGACACTGATGGCAGCCTCAGGCCCTCCAGTGGCAGGGCACAGCAGGGTGGGCACCCAGAGTGAGCTCACACCAAGCCCCAGCAAAGCTGCTCCACTCTCCATCTGGCCTATACACACCGATGCAGCCAATGGTTCAACATCCACAGGGTTAGTTGAAATCCTCAAAGTGCTTGGAGACCCCTCCCTGTACTCCTTCTTCTCTGCCCCCAGTATCTTAAGGTCCAGACCTGCCAACCACTGGATGGAGTAAGTATTAGTGGTGAAGAGGTGGGCCTTGGAGCCAGAATTTTAGGGCTTGAATCCCAGCTCTGTCACAAACTAACTTGGTGATGTTAGGAGGGTTATTTAAACCTCTTTGCTTCAGTTTTCTTTTCTGTAAAATGAGTATAATACATATCTCATACAGTTGTTGGGAAAATCAAATTTAATAAATTATTTTAAAATAGTGCCCAGGCACACAGAAGGCACTCCATCAATGTTAGCTGTTACTCAGAGTCGCAGAGTCTGCTAACGTGAGTCAGGGCATGGAGTGTGCCCAGCATGGCTTCAAGGGTTCTTCACCGTTATGTCCCTGTTCAGAAAGAAGGAAACTGAGGCACAGAGATTCAGTGACCACACCCAGTGGCACTTGGACACTCTGCTGGACCAAAATGAGGCTCCAAGTTCAGGGCCCCTGGGACAGGGCCTCTCCCTGATTCCAGTACCCTCACAGGGCACCCAGCTCTGGCTGAGGAGCCTGGTCAGGAAGAGCAAGGAAGGGGCCAGCCTTCCCAGAACAGGAAAGTACAAACATAGGGTTTTCCAGACTCCCAGAGCCTACAGTCTCATTTTCCCATTTTCTCCAGAGCAGCCTGGGGGTCTAACTTCCAGACCTGAGCCCCTGGAGCCTACAGTATAGACACGTGACTGACAGCAGCACTATTACCATTCTGTCATCATTCCCGAAAAGGATGAGTCCCGCTTTGGTGACTATCCCTGGCCGATGGGCTCCCAGGATGGGCAAATCTTCTCCCTCGGGCACCAAGCCTGCAGTGTTCAGCGTTGAGTTGAAGAAAGTCAGCTTCTGTTGAGGACAGGAAAACCAGAAGATGGTGGATGAAAAAGCCTCCCACTGCTGGCAGCCCAGGCAAGTCTGAGCAGGGTTAAGGGGATGAAGGGGGGCCAGGCAGGGCCAGGGAGAGGAAGGAGGGGGCCAGGGCAGCCACAACGCAAGAACTGCAAACCCAAGAACTCTGCCTCTAGGGGCACAAACAAGACCTGGAGGAGCCTTGGAGGCCTCATGGAGCCCTCAAGCCCTGGACGTCCTTTAGACCCTATTAACTGGCCCTTGGCCTCAGATCTCAGGCAGACAGACACCAGGAGAAAATACGCTCAAGGCATCACAGAGTGCCCTGGGGATGTCACCAAGCACTGGTCACTTTGCAAAGACTCTTGTGGTGATGAGGGCAGGAAAGAGACTCCTGGACAGAGTCTGGGCAGCTGGACAGCAGGCAGGGGTTTGGACAGTCTGAAGCTTTGTGGAGGACAGGACTGCCCTCTGTGGGGAACAGATGAAGGTCCCCACTCACAGTCCTGCCAACAACTCCCAGTGCCGCTCAAGGGCCTGTGAGCCCCAGGGCTCACCATCTTCAGCATCTGAAGAATGCCACTGCCCAAACCCTGGCCTAAGCATACTGCCCCTCTCCACTAGGGCCAAGTCAAAGTCAGAGCTGGACTTGGGATCTCTGTGAGCCCAGGGGTGGGACTCAAAATATTTTACAAGAAATATAGCTTGAAGAACATTCCACCCTAAAACGACAGAATACTCATTCTTCTCGAGTGCACATGGAACTTTCTCCAGAATAGACCACATACTGGGTCACAAATCAGGTCTCAACCGATACCAAAAGATTGAGATTATTCCCTGCATATTCTCAGACCACGATGCTCTAAAACTGGAACTCAATCCCAAGAAAAAATTTGGCAGAAATTCAAACACTTGGAAGCTAAAGACCACTCTGCTCAAGAATGTTTGGGTCAA